TAAGCAACATCATGATAAACAAAGAAAATACTGACCTTGTCAAAGATTTCATTTCACCTGGATTCACAGTCACCACCATGGTGCTGTAGGATAAAGCACTGGACCCCAAGGTTGGTTTGAACTGAAAAGTTGGTGGTTCAAACACACCAGTCACTCCTTGGAAACTCTATACAGGGTCGCTATGACTTGTAACTGACTCAATGGCACTTAACAACAGCAACAACCACCACCCATGGAAGCAGCAGTCAAGAAATTAAATGATGCATTTCATTGAGCAAATCTGTTGCCAACAATCTCCTTAAAGTCCTGAAGAGCAAAGATGTCACTTTGAGGACTCAGTGGCCTCAGATGCATCCAAAAGGTGGACAGTGAATAAGGAGGACTGAAGAAGAATTAACGTATTGAAACTATGATGTTGGTAAAAAATATTTACTATACATGGACTGCCAAAAGAATGAACAAATCTATCTTGAAGAAGTACAACTAGGATACTCTTTATTTCATCTTTCCAAGAAAGTTATAAATTCTTCAGACACAAATTGAGTATTTAGTGACACAGCTCATGAAATAAAGAGCTTTCTCACAGCTCCTGGTGTGGCGCTGTACTACAAGCACTGGACTGCGAACCACAAGACCGGCAGTTCAAATCCACCAGCTGCTTCTTGGAAACCCTATACAGGGTCACTATGAGTCAGAACTGACTGGACAGCACTTACCAACAACAACAAAGGTAAAAAAGGATGAAAGACATTGGGCTCAGCGGTTACTGAACTTGGACCTTGAGACTATTTATCTCCCTTCCCGCCCCAAAATGGCTTTTAAACAATGTACAAACAAAAGCAATGAAAACACCCTCCAACATTATCAATACACAGAAAAGTCCAAAATACCAGTCAAAATAATATCAGGCACTCCTGGTAATGCGTTAAATTGCAAGGTTGGTTTGAACAACAAGGTCCGTGGTTCAAGCACACCAGCTGCTCCTACACAGGGTTGCTATGAGTCGGAACTAATGCAATGGCACTTGGCAACACTAGGATTGGCAGTACTTCAAAAGATACACTGGCAGCTAAACTCACATGTCATACTTTAAAAAAAACAAACAAATGGAATTTGCCTAAACAATACACTGACCACTAGATCCCATCTGACTCGATCCATTCATTGTGTTGTGTGAGCTGATTGGCTTGTTAGTGGTTTCCCCATGGTGGTGGTTATGTGCTGTGGAGTCAGTTCTGACTCATAGCGACCCTGTACAGGGTTTCCAAGGCTGTAAATCTTTATGGGAGCAGAAAGCCTCATCTTTCTTCTGTGGAACACCTGGTAGTTTCGAACTGCTGACCTTGCGGTTTATAGCCTGATCCGTAACTACTACGCTACCAAAGCTCCTTGGTTTCCCCATAATATTAAAAAAAAAAAAAAAGTTCATAACATTCACTCCAAAGGCACAGTACAGAGGATCCTTCAAAGGAATCCTTTTTTACTTTCTTTCTTCCCCTCAGACCATTTTAATCTTGTTGGTGTCATCCTGAGCTGGAGAGCCAGAAAACAATGAGTTCACATTTTCTTTGCTGGCTCTATTCAATTCACCAATGGCCACAGATTGCAGAGCAGGGCATTGGTTTTTCTTTTCTAACATCATCTGATACTCCAGGACCTTCTGCTTAATAAGCTTATTGAAAGAACAAGAGCGGATCCTCTTCTGTACCTGTGGAGTAGAAAGTTCTCACCCTGGTGTTTGGGTTGCAGATTGCTTATTAGACTGTCTAATAAGCTGCTGACTTCAGCATGTTGTGGACATGTTGGGACAGCTCTTTGAGTGCCTCTACGTGCACTGTTGCTTTTCCTGATGAAAGCAGAAATCTACTCAGTTCCATTTCTGAGATTTTGCCAGCTGGAAAGACTTAGTATGAACTGAAGTTATCAAATCAAGGTCATTCTTTGCTACTTCTATTCCAGAGCCCAAAGAGTACAACCTGGCACACTCCTGAATATAAGCAGGAGCCTTAAAAACTTTCTGGGAATGTTTACTCATAAAGCCACCCCACTGTTTAACTTTGTGATATTCTCTTGAAGGTCATTAGCAGTGACATTTTTTTGGCCATAGGAAGTGGGGTGCAAACATAAAAGCAAGGATAAAGGCAGACATCTTATTATGGTGTCTTTGCTGTTTGGTACAGGAGATCAAGCAATAACTTTATGATTGGGGGAAACAAAAGAAAGAAGAACAATTGAAGAGCCTCAGTTTGTCATTCCTTATATGATGTGGTACTGTCCGATAAGCACTCAATCACAAGGTTGGTTTGACTGTAAGGTTGACAGTTCAATCCACCAGCCACTCCTTGGAAGCTATATATAGGGTCCCTATGAGTCAGGTCCTACTCGATGGTACTTAACAACAACAACAGCAGCAATCTGGTAGATTGGTCCTGTTGCCTTTATCATTAAACTGCGTCAAATTAGCAATTTTGAGGCATGCATGGCGATGCTTCTGAGTCAGCAGGGGCCCAGATAACTCGACTCAAAACATCTTCAGCAAGGTGGCAACACCATTTGAGTGTCACACCAGGATTCCTAGAGGGTTGCAAAATGGTCTTTCTTGAATTCTTACCTTCTGTGTAGGAGATCCAGGTTCGATTCCTGCCCAATGCATCTCATGCACAGCCACCATTCAGTGGTTAGTGGAGGCTTGTGTGTTGCTATGATGTTAAACAGTTTTCAAAGCAGCTTCCAGACTAAGATGGATTAGGGAGAAAGGCCTGGCAATCTACTTTTGAAAATCAGCCAATGAAAACCCTGTGGATCATAACAGTCTGGCACAATAGGATCAGTGTTACAGTGGAGTTGCCATGAGTGGGAAGGCTAGTCACAACTATCAACAAAACAGGTACTAGCTGGCATTCTAGAGCCCTGGTGTGGCACTGTAAGATAAGCCCTGGGCTGATAACTGCAAGGTTAGCAGTTCAAACCCACCAGTTGCTCTCAGAAACCCTATACTTGATGCCAAACAACAGCAGTTGGTACCAACTCATATCAACCTTACCCTCAACAGTCCTGTGCCAATCTCATAATAGTTGCTACACTTGAGCCCATTGCTGCTTCCACTGTACCAATCCATCTCACTGGGGGTCTTCTTCCTTTTTGCTGACCTTCCATTTTACTAATCATGATGCCCTTCCCCATGAACTAGTCTCTCTTGACAATGTGTCCAAAGTATGAGAGACAAAGCCTGGCCATCCTGGATTCCAAGGAGTATTCTGGCTGTACTTTTTCCAACACAGATTTGTTTGTCCTTCTGGCAGTCCAGGGTACTTTTAATATTCTCCTCCAACACCATAACTCAAACACATCGATTCTTTTATGGTCTTCCTTATTCCATTGTCCAACTTTCACATGCATATGATAGTGGTTGTGTGGCATGGAGTAAGTTCCAACTCATAGCGATCCTGTATAGGGTTTCTGAGGTTATAAATGTGAGGCTATTGAAAATACCATGACTTGGGTCAGGTGCACCTTAGTCCTCAGACTGACATATTTGCTCTTGGATACTTTACAGAGGTCTTGTGCAGCAGATTTGCCTAATGCAATACATCTTGACTGCTGCTTCCATGAATGTTGATGGTTGATCCAAGCAACTTGTCTTTGACAACTTCAGTATTTTCAACATTTATCTTTGTATTATTTATTGGTCCAGAGGTGAGGATTTTTGTTTTCTTTACATTGAAGTGCAACCCATATCTAAGGCTATGGTCTTTGATCTTCATCAGTAAGTATTTTAAGTCTTCTTCTCTTTCAGCAAGCAAGGTTGTGTCATATGCATATTGCAAGTTGTTAATGAGTCTTCCTACATTCTTGATGTTATGTTCTCCTTTGTATAATCCAGCTTCTCAGATTACTTCCCAGCATACAGATTGAGTAAGTATGATGAAAGTTACAACCTTGGTGTACGCATTTCCGAATTTTGAACCATTCAGTGTCCTCTTGTTCCGTTTGAACAACTGCCTCTTGGTCTATGTGTAGGTTCTTCATGAGCACAATTAATTGTTCTGGAATACTCATTCTTTGCAATGCTGTCCATAGCTTGTCATGATCCACACAATAAAGCACAGGCAAACATCTTTCTGGTGTTCTCTGCTTTCAGCCAAGATCCACCTGACTTCAGCAATGATATCCCTTGTTCTATGTCCTTGTCTGAATCTGGCTTGAACCTCTGGCAGTTCCCTGCTAATGTACTGTTGCAACTGTTTTTGAATTATCTTTAGCAAAACTTTACTTGTATGTGGTATTAATGATTTCCTCATTCGATTGGGTCACCTTTCTTTGGAATGGGCACAAATATGGATCTCTTTCAATTAGTTGGCTAGCTCCTCATTTTGAGCTATGCCCCATAAGCAAATGAAGGTCCCAAAAGCTTACTCCACTTGCATCATCATGGTCAACTCTTCTTGAGGAGGCAGCTCTTCTCCAGTCGGATTTTGAGTGCCTTCTAACCTGAGGGACTCATCTTCCGGCATCATATCTGACAGTATTCCGGTGCTCTTCATCATGTTTCAATATTTAATATTCTGGTGCTATCTGACAATATTCCACTGCTATTCAAAAGGTTTTCAATGACTAAATATTCGCAAGTAGTCCACTTCTCCTTCTTCTTAGTCTGGAAGCTCAGCTGAAACCTGTCCACCTTGAGTGACCCTGCTGGTATTTAAAATACCGGTGGTATAACTTCCACCATCGCAGCAACAAGCAAGCCATCACAGGACAAACTGACAGACGAATAATTGGCCCACATAGCCAAAGCTTCAATCAACCCTTCTGTAGGGTAGGGACTGGGATTCATGACAGGGCTCCGCCCAGAGTTGTAGTTGCGGAGCCAACCATAGCGTGGTGCTGGCGTGCAGCTCAAACTGCGTCGCGGGCGATTGACGTCACATCGTACGCCCAGGCCCAACCGGCACGGTGGTTGTTCGCCTGGGTTCCGTGGGCTCTTTTCCGCGGTCGCCATGGTTTCACGCGTGCAGCTCCCACCCGAGATACAGCTTGCGCAGCGTCTGGCTGGCAACGAGAAAGTGACCCGGGACCGGGCGGTGAAGAAACTCCGGAAATACATCGTGGCCAGGACTCAGCAGGCCGCAGGTTAACGCGCAAGTGACGGGGCTGGTGGGGAAGAGAGCGCCGCCGCGTTGTGGGCGGCCCAATCGGGCGAGGGGCGTCAGAGGTCTATGCTACAGACCCTCCGGACCTTGTGGGGGTCTCACGTGGTGGCGCTGAGACCGATGGGCCAAATGACCTTCCTTCCTACCCCACCTGACTCTTGCTATCCACTCAGGCGAGCGTTCCATCCTGCACGCGGTTAGCAGTCCTGTCGTACCCAGCTCCTCTGTCCCCGTTAGCTAGTAGGATTTTCTATTTAGCCCTCCCTTCTGGGAAGCCACCCCCTCCCTTGTCAGACTATATACTTCCCCTTTCAACTATTTGGGCACCCCATATTTTGTGGTTAAGTGCCATCGAGTTGGTTCCGACTTATAAGGATCCCATATAGGGTTTCCAAGGAGCGGCTAATGGATTTGAACCTGTAGTTAGCAGTCCAGTGCTTATCCTATAGTGCACTTTTTACCTCGTAGCAGCCTTTATTCTTAGTTTTCTATTTGTATAATTATTGGATTGCCGTCTGATTTTAGTTCATGCTTTTTGAGCGCAGAGAACATGCAGCTTGTTGACAGTTCTCTGTACCAGTGATTCTGAAAATGTGGTCTCAGACCAGCAACTTCACAAAACCTGGATATTTGCTACCCTTAGCAGTGGAGTGGACCCAGCAAGCCTATAGGACAGAGTAGAACTGCCCCATAGGGTTTCTGAGGTGTGGCGCTGTAGGATCGGCACTGGACTGTGAACCATAAGGTTGACGGTTCAAGACCACCAGCTGCTCTTTGGAAACCCTGTATGGGGTTACTATGAATTAGAACCAACTTAACGGCACTTAACAACAACAATTTTAACTTAAGCAGAAGACTGGTGGTTTTGAACTACTGCCCTTTGTAGCATCTATTAACTACTGTGTCACTAGGGTGCATTATGTTGTTGAGTTGGTTCTCTCTCATAGCCACCAAAGAGTGGCTGGTGGGTTTGAACCACCAACCTTGTGGTTAGCAGTCCTGTTCTTATCCTACATCGCCAGGGCTCCAGGAGCATTATGGTGGTGGTTATTTGCCTTGGAGTTGGTTCTGACTCTTGGTGACCCTGCCTAGAATTTCTGAAGCTCTAAATCTTTACAGGAGCAGAAAGCTCATCTTTCTCCCACAGAATGGCTGGTAGTTTTGAACTGCTGACCTTGAGGTTAACAGCCTGACTCCTAAACACTGCACTACCAGAGCTCCTTCCAGGAATAAGGCTTCGAAATGTTTGCTGGAGACATTCGTAGTCTCGTGGTAGAATTCCACGCAGGAGACCCAGATTCAGTTCCCAGTCATTGTACCTCATATGTAGCCACCACCCATCTGTTAGTAGAGGCTGTGTGTTGTTGCTGTGATGCTGAGTAGGTTTCAGTGGAGCTTCCAGACTAAGACAGACTAGGAAGAAAGGTCTGGCAATCTACTTCTGAAAATAAGCCAATGAAAACCTTATGGATCCCAATAGTCTGATGTACAACTGATAATGGAGATGACTCAACAATTTTGTTGTTGAGTTAGGGCTGACTAGATGGCAGTTCACAATGATAACTATTTGTCAAATGAGTAATTTTTATATGTCTGTCTGCCTTACTAAGAAGCTCTGGTAACATAGTGGTTACAAATTGGTCTGCTAACTTCAAGGTCAGCAGTTCGAAACTACCAGCTATTCGGGAGACAGATGAGGCGTTCTGTTGCCATAAAGATTTACAGCCTTGGAAATCCCGTACAGGGTTGCTATGAATTGGAACTGACTCCACGACATACCACCACCACCACCACCATCGTCCTTACTGGTGTGAATGAATGAGTTAACTGTGTTTTAAAATATGAAGTATTAACATAGAAAAGGGACTCCTTGTGTGGTGCTGTATGATTAGTGCTAGACTCCTAACCAGCAGCTCCTAGGAAACCCTGTACTGGGTCTATACGAGTTGGAACTGCCTCATGACACTTAACACCACCACAGAAAAGAGTACAAACTAATTAATTATGGATGAATTAACACTAGTGAATTCACTGGTGTATGGACCATCCACACTTAACTGTCAAACAGACTCACTTTTGTATTGCTGTGGTTAAGCGGCATTTCCTCCAGAGAAGGAGTCCCGATAGCCACAGGCACTGTAGTTCTGAGTTAGGATTGCTTGAGCAGCGAGGACAGGCTCTGCTCTGCAGTGGGATTTACAGCAAAAAGACTTTGGTCTAATTCAGAAAGCCACATTTCCTTCCTGGTAATAAAAGGTTGGGTACGTTTAGTCTGAATATTGCTGTTTGTGATGCAGGTGGTTTCACACATGATGAGCTACTGAAGGTATGGAAAGGACTGTTCTATTGCATGTGGATGCAGGACAAGCCGCTCCTCCAGGTGAGTGTATGGGTCGCAGGGGAAGACGTTCCAGAGTGGGGTATCTGTGAGAGGACAGATGAGCATCCAGTTAGCCCCATTTTAATGTGGCCAAGGACACGAGGTGAAGTTTGAGAACTTCAGTGCTTTGTTCTTTATGACTGGCAGGACCCAGATCCTTTGGTTAGAGTGGATCTGACACTTGCCTGGGACTTTGACATTCTTGTGGAGTTAGTACCAACTCAGTGGTATGTGGTGCAGGAAAGGGTACCAATGAAAACATGAGCTGTTGGTGGTGTCTGTTTGTCAGGGTCACAGACTGAGCACTGAAATATTCCAAGGCAAAGGACTGACTGTAAGTCTTGTTCTTGTAAGACAAGATTTCTCCTGCTCTGCTCTTTGAATCAGTCAGTTGTCAACTGTGCTCCAAAATTACCTGAGTGGCAAGGGGGCTTGTCCAGAATGCAGATTCCCAAGCCTTATCCCGTATCTTTTAAACTGGAGGTTCTCAGGGGGAGGCCTTGGGATCTGTCATCTTAACATGTGCTTGGGGTGATGCTGGGCACAGGGACACAGACTGTTAGGTCATGAGTGGTTGATGGTGCTCTGGGTGACCCTCCTGCTCAGGGACTGAACTCAAAGACTTACTGCTGCTCCTCCTTGGTCCCCTCTACCACCAAACGTCTGTAGTCGCTGGAGGCAGGTACCACAGTGACTTTTGGGGGGATTCTGTTTGTCCTTGCTGTTGTAGGAGGACATCTTGTATAGCAAGGGGTGAAACCTGTAACACTTGGGTTCCCTGGGCTGCAAGACCCAATGGCAGCCTGTTTTCTGTGATGCATAGGTGTGTACTGAGTATGTTTGTCTCTGTCATTGTAAGAGCATATTATTCCAGAGACTGAGGAATTTCTGTTGTTTCCCGCATAGGAGGAACTAGGAAGGACCATTTCCCAGCTTATCCATGCCTTTCAGACCACAGAGGCCCGTGAGTATGCTCTGCCACCCTTAATACCTATTCGCAAATTCCCTGGAAATTCAAACTGCTAGACACAGGTATGCCATTCTGAAATCTAGTGCATGTCATAGCTGAGGGTGTGAGAGAGGTGAGAATTGTAGCTAGTCCCCAACCAGAATTTGGTGAGTGGGAGACACTCTCCTAAGTACTTGGCATGCATTAACTCACTTATTCCAGCCAGACACAGCTCTTTTATCAGAGACCTAGCAGGTGTCTAAAGGGCTGCCGTTTTCCACTTTTAATATAAAATAAAATGAAAAGCCAGTTTCATGTTGCCAAGCTTCTTCTTGTTAGGTGATGTTGAGTCAGCTCCTACTCATAGTGACCTTATGCACAACAGAAGGAAACACCATCCTTAACAGTTGTTAGATTTGAACCCATTGCTGCTACTACTATGTCAGTCCATCTCCATAGTGAATCTTCTTTTTCACTCATCCTCCAACTCGCTAAGCATTGTTGCCCTTCTCCAGGGACTGGTCCCTCCTGATAACATGTCTAAAGTATGAGACATAAAGTCTATCCGTGCTGACTTCCAAGTATCATTCTGGCTGTACTTCTCCCAACATAGATTTGTTCTTCTTAAAAGCAGTTCATGGTACTTTTAATATTCTCCAACACCATAACTCAAATTCATCAATTCTTCTATGGTCTTCCTTATTCACTGTCCAACTTTTGCATGCATATGAGCTTATAGAAAATATCATGGCTTGAGTTAGGCGCACCTTAGTCCTCAAACTGACATCTTTGCTCTTGAACACCTTAATGAAATCTTGTGCAACTGATTTGCCTAATGCAATATGAGATTTGATTTCTTGCCTGCTGCTTATATGAGTGTTGAATGGTCCATTCACATCAGCCTCTGTGCTCAGGGCCCCAATAACAACATGTACCTTCCCCTGTGTTCTTCTGGAGCATGGGGGTGGGGAGCGAGGGAGCCAGGCTGAGTAGCAAGCACCACTCCCCTAGAACATGAAGGCTATTCCCTGGTGGTACCTTGATTACGTACACAGGTTTCAGGCCAATTAAGTAGGCAGAGTAGTCAGCATTGGAGTGAGTGCTCTGGTAGTTAAAGTAGCTGTCGGCTCAGTTAGAGAGCTTCTCTAGGAACTGTACTGAGCATTAGTGGTGGATCTATGTGTCATCATTTTTACTTTCTAAGAGCTTGCATAGTCTTTCAGTGCTTGGTAAACTACCAAATATAGAGTATTCACTTAGCCACATGTGAGCGATTTAGAAAAATGCAGGTCTATGCATTACCAAACCACCTGACCAAACCTTTGCTACTATCGAAGTTCGGACACTGGCAGGTAGAGGTACCCTTGTTGCTGTGTTGTTTATAAGGTTTTGTGCATGTTTTTGTAAATTGGGTGGCCGGGCATCCTGGATGTCCTGTGCACATTTACACAGCTGTGTGTGTCTCTCTCTCTCTCTTTCTCTCTCTCTCTCTCACACACACACACACACACACACACACACACACACCCCACCCTGACTTCTCCGGCAGGTCTGGGCCCACTACTGGGAGGCAGCACTGCTGAGGTTGGGAACCCGAGAGCAGAACCTCTCCTGCCACTGCTGTGTTCACACTGTGGCTGAAGTGTGTGTATGCTGTTTTGCTGTGCTCTCTGAGGCTCTGAGTGGCACCATTTCTCAGTTCCACACACGCTCCTACCTCTGTCTGTTGTGGTCATTGTCTCCCGGCACTCACTAGGCTCCTTGTTCTCCTAGAGCACCTGTTCCTTCAGACGTTTTGGCAAACCATGAATCGTGAGTGGATAGGGATTGACAGGCTGCGCCTGGACAAATACTACATGGTAAGAAGCTGCCCATAGTTCCTATTTTGGCTCTTTCTGTCCTGAGTCTCCAGCATCCTGTTTTTGCCCAGTAGAACTTGGAGGACCCTGGGCTCATTTGCCTATCAGTAATCCTCAGCTTCCCACAGAGGTGAAGGCTCCATGACAGTGAGGTGACACTGCAGCAGTGTGACCCCATAGGTGTTAGAGAAGGGACAGAAGCTTGTTGGGGGTCCTGCAATATTTGCCCCATCTCTGAGGGTTACTGATGGGCACTGGATTCCTACTTGGTTCTCAAATCCTTAAGCACTTACACAAACTTCCATTCAGAGAAGGAGAGTTAAAATTGCTGAGAATCGAATCATGAAGCTAACACTTCTCTGCTGTTACAGCTGTACACATCCCTGAGCGCTCACCAGCTCAGCCAGGCCATGTTCTCACCTGCTGACTGGATGCTGGGCCCGCCTAGCCAGGGATGATTATATTGTTCAATCTTGTATTACATTCGTGTCAATTTAGCTTAGTATCTTGCGCTGCAAAATAAAATCAAGTTTTGTAGACATAGTAACTGCCATCTTGCTGTTAGGCTAGAATTTACTGTGGCTTGCAGGCACCTCTGGAGGTGAAGGCACATTGCTGCTGTCTGTGAGCACAGGTGATCTGAGGGGAAACCAGGTGAGGCCTGTTCTCACTGGGGACAGAGCCCTCCTTGGCTGGCGTTGTGTCTTGCTCTACCTGTCTGACTCAGTGACCAGTTCAGACCCTGGCCAAGATTATGTATGGTGGATTTATAGTAAGGACCCCTGAGTAGAAAGCTCAAGAAGAAAGAATGAAGAAACTCTTAAGTCCTTGGGGTTGGGGAGGACTGGGAGCCAGGCATCTGTATTTTTGCAAAATTCACATTTATAACAGGAGGCCGTAGGCCTCTTTACCTGCTGTGTAACTGCTAAGTTATTTTGTTTAGTGAATTCTGTTGGTTTGAAAGTCACTTTCCCCCCTTTGTGTGACCCCATCTTGCTGACCCTATTGGTGACACCGCAGAGTGTGATGTGAAACTAGCTCTGGTGTCTGCAAGAGTGGTATATCCTGGCAGCCTGGGCAGGCTGTGAACAAAGGCTCTTTGGGGCCAGAGTGTCCTGGGCTGCTTTATCCTGACTTGGACTCCTCCCCTGGCATGTGCCATTATCTGAGAGCAGAAAACTGCATGGAAAATACCTTGAACCATTTTAAAGGGGAGGTGGAGCCTGGTTTGCATCAGGAGGCTTAGAGGAGAGCCTTTACTGCCTGACAGGCTGGAGAGACTGGAAACTGAGCTCTCCTTGTGGGGAAGGAGTCCTGGAGTGCTCAAAAAGCCATCGTGCTGTTCAGGTCTGGCCTTGCCAAGTGCTCCATCTTTCAAGATATGATCTGTGCTCCCTACCTGTAGTTCATCCACTGTGGACTTGACTTCCTGCTGCTCCAAGAAAGTTGACTACTTAACACAGGGGATGCTGTGTGTTTCCAGGCCCAGGTGTGGTACCCTACCCAGGCAGAACTTACTGGGTGCTTGGGGTGCAGAGTTAGCAGGCTGTGGCTCTGATCCAGGCACGCCCGGTACATAGAGCACACAGGGGTATTTGGTGAGACCTGAGCTGTGTGTCTGCTAACGAGTGTCTCCTTTTGTGCCGTAGCTCATGCGGATGGTGCTGAATGAGTCCTTGAAGGCCCTGCAGATGTGTGGTTGGCAGGAAAGGTCAGTGCCCACGGCAGCTGAGGAAAGAGACAGCGTCTCCGGACGCAGCCGTTCACCCAGTGCACTGCTTACCTGGGATACGGGAGTCAGGGTTCCTCTTCTACTCATCACAACAAGGACCTCCATGACACTTCAAATGAAGGGGTTTTAGTGACAAGTTGTCTGTGTATTCATGGAAACGATGCTGCTTGTTTTCAGCCTTGCTAAGCTCTTATGTGCATTGGAGTCTAAACCTCTGCTTTAGAAGGATGAGCAGCTAGGTGTCTTTTACTTAATTTTTAGTTTTAATTAAAATATGGTGCATTCAGCAATGAAGACTAATTCCTGCTATTGAAACACTCTGGAGTCCTGGTGTGGTGCCATATGATAAACACTGGACTGTAAGGTCCATTTGAACTGCAAGGTGAGCGGTTCAAACTCACCAGTGGCTCACTGGAAACCCCAGATAGGGCCCCTATGGCTCCGAACCGACTTGATAGCACCAAAGAACAACAGTAGAAACACTTAACATTGTCCCAGCGTCTCCTTTTCAACAGCAGTGCTTGTGGAGAGTTGTCAAGTCCACAAGGCCAGGGCTGGCCTTCAGTTTCTGTCTCAGCTCGAGTTTTGAAGATTGTGCAGTGAGGAGGAATCCTGCCCCTGCATGTGTGGTGGACTCTACACACAGCCTGGGCTTAACGGCTTCTGGGCCCAGCCCCTACCGGGGATCCACGGGCTGGGTGCAGCTAGGGGTGTTCTTTGCCTGAACCCGCCTCTTAGGTCTCCTGGGACATTTGCACCCAACAGATCAGGTCAAGGGCTTCCAAACCTGGCAGGGGTGATGTGAGTTCTACCCCATAAAGTGGATGTCTGAGTGCTTAACATTGAAAAAAAATTTAACATTAACTTGGAAATGTAGTTTAATTTTTGTAAATAATTGATTTTATTTTTGATTGTTGAAGCTGTTACCAAATTCAACACTTTCTACATAAACAGTCACTGATACTGATTGTATTCTTTGAGCTGAGCAACTCCTCTCCCCTCCTTTTCCCAGTTATTTCTCCCCATGCTCATAAACGCACTGCCCCAAGATTCTGGTGTACTCTTCAAGTTGCTATTGCCCTTCAGAGATCTTCAGCGAGCAGGATGTTCAAGATAGATACTCCCTGTTAGTTAAGCTAAACTATTGATTGGTTGTAAGATGACTTCAATGTGAGGGTTAAAGATTCTCTCAGGGGTTCATCCAGCCTCAGTGACTTAAGAAAGCTGCCTAAATAAAAGTCCATGAGATGGAGTTTAGGTTTTTAAATTTTTACTGATAATATTTTTCTCATTATGAGAGTGATACAAGCTCAGTGTAAAACCCTGAGAACACCTTTATAAAAATTAGAAAGTAATTTTGATGACTAGAGATAAGCGCTTAACAAGCTCATGTCTCCTGTATGGTGCTGCGGCCATACGTGGCATCATGTTACATGTGACATTTCATAGACTGCCTTCTTACTTTGCTCATGATGAAAGCATTCCCTCTCTGTCCTGCTACATGATCGTTTCTTTTGGCAGAAAACAGAGGTCTCAGCTTAAAAAAAAAACAGTAGCTTGAATTGATCTGTAATTTAATGAAAAAATTGCACATTATAGGTTTGGGGTTTTTTCTCCCCAAGTATATGAATAGTAGAACTAGTTACCAGATGTCAAGATACCTACCATAGTGGAGAGTAAAGTTGATGTCCTGAGCTTTTATGTGTATCTTCTGGTTAACAAAGTTTGTTCAGGCTCCTCCCCCCCCCCCACACACACACACACACAATGAAAAACAGAATCAGCAGAAATTGGGCTGCAGCTCCGTGAATTTTGCCATGTTCACATTGTGGTTCTACATTTGGAATAATGATGGAGATTTTACATTTCAAGAAAGCGTAAAGCAGTTGTTGGTGATTGTCCTTAGACACCCCCAGGAATGGCTCTGAGGCTGGGCGGCTCTCAGTTTTAACAGGTTCACCCAGTGGGAATCCAGTGACTTCTACGGAATTCAGTATGAAAGGGACTCATATAGATTCACTTTTTTTTTTTAATAAAAGTAATTCCATACTCATTGTTATTAGGAGAAATCAGTAACTCTGTCTCCATTGTAAGTGTGTGGTCAGGTTCACGCTAGCACTTGGAGGCCGCTGTATCTAGGCGTCTTCCTGTGGGTTTCCTACTTGTCTTTGTTTTCTTTGTCACTTCTCCCTGTGGTCAGCCGCACTTTTCTGTCTTGGAGCAGGTGATTCCCAAACAGTGCCGTACATCCAAACCATGTAGGGAACTTCTTATAAAACCAGGTCTGTGAGTTCAGGGCACAGGGATCCATGGTGTTACCCACAGCTTGGGTTTCCAGGGGCATCTCGGCCATTCCACACTGCTCAGATCTGCTGCTGTATTTGCCTCTTCTCTCCTCAGTCAGAGCGAGCAGCTGCTGAAGCTACTGACGACTGAGATCCTACACCCAGACAGCCAGGCCCCCCATGGGGTGAAGAGCCACTTCACTGAGATATTCCTGGAGGAGCTGGCCAAAGTGGGTGCAAAAGAGGTGAGGGGGGCTGGTCACCTGGTGTCAGCTTGGGAGCTGGACTGGACTTGGGCTCAGACTTGAGGCTCTGTACATGGCATTAACTCAGGGAGGCTGGGATTGGGGTGGGGCATGGAGGCTTGTCACTTGGTGTTAGTTTATTGGGGGCTGTTCATAGACAGGAATGGAAGCTCTCGTTTCCTCTCCCTGCAGCTTACCGCAGACCAGAACTTCAAGTTCATCGAGCCCTTCTGCAGAATCGCTGCCAGGACCAAAGAGTAAGTAGCCGGTGGCTCTGTCAGGCTGACTTCTGTTTGACCCACCTCTCTGGAACCTCCATCTCCAGCGTGGCCTGTGCTGTGGAGGAGTTGCCTAGAGAGGCCGCTGGGCTGTAGGGGTGGGGGACGGGGACAGGGACAGTGATGAGTCTGTACTGTTTGACAAGCATTCCCACTTGACTGCTTTCTCACCTTTCTCTTCCCCTTCAGTACCCGCGATTTACATAACATAGCTCGTGGGATCTTTGATACAATTGTGGAACAGGCCCCATTCGCCATTGAAGATCTAATGAATGAGCTGGACGAACAAGAAGACGGGGAGGAGGAGGAGGAGTTGTCGGAAGACAGTGACTTGGAGGAGGGTGACATGGAGGAGGAGGAGAGTGAGCCAGATGTGCTGACTGCAAAACAGGCTGAGGAGCAGCTGAAAGGTGGGGTTCCACACAACAGGGTCTGACCACATTTACCCTCCCCCATGCTCAGTTCCCATCTTGGCTAAGCCAGCGTCAGACAGTCAGATCCCCGTGGCTGCCCCTCCTATCTGGACCCTGTTTCTGCCTTTGCTCTCAACACAGCAGCCAGAGTTGCCATTAAGTCATGTGGCACATTGGTCCTCTGCTCGCTGATCCTGGTTCTGACCCACTGTTCCATTTGCTTAGTCACCCCTCGATAGCTGGTGCACACCTGCCCCCTCCACCTGTAACCTCTGCCCGATTCTCCCTCTCCTCTCAGTGTCTGCTCACCCGCCACTCTCAGGTGATATAGCCTGAGTCCTGATTTAAATGTGCAGCTTCCCACCCTCTGGTGAGACCTGCTTGGCTTAGTGTCCTCCCTGTGCAGTCACTTCATGGCATGCTGCCTAATGACTTGTTCCTTGTAGTCCTGGTTCCTTGTTTTTTGGAGTTCAGGGGGTGTCTCTCATTCCAGATTCCATCCATAGGCCTAGGACAGGAGAGGAAGAGGCAGAAGACGAGGAGGACAGTGCTGGTGCGGTGCTGCAGGTGGGTGGGCTGAGGCCTGACCTGAACCACAGCAAGGACTGGGGAGGGCGCTGTCCACTTTGAACTCAGATACTGACCTGAGTGGCAGACTTGAACTGCAGTGGGCATGGGGAGAGGACAGGCACCAGGGCAGGGGCCCTCTGGCAGACTGCTTTCTAGGCTAACACCAGCCATTAACCATCCGTCCCTCTTTATAGGCAGACTGAGACATGGGTGGCACTGTCTGGCAGCTTGCAGTTCCCTCTGTGCCATCAGGTGTGTCCGTCACTTCATAACAGAAAACGTACAATGTGGATTTCTAAGACTCACTTCCAAATACCTGTCTAGTACCTTACAAATGACCTGAGGTGTTGATTTTTGGTTTTCCTCATTTGACTATGGCTCAGAAGATTGTGGGCTCATAGGCCAAGCTGCCCTCTTGGCTCTCGTATTTCTATGGGGCAGTGCTGCCCAGAGCATGCCTGGTGCCTGCCTCCAGTGGACAGATGGCCAGTGTGTGCTGAGGGGCTGGAGTGCTACAGGTGGAAGATGGCTCACCAGTGGCCTGTGTGGGCTTTTCTTTGACAGTTTGACTATGAGGCAGTTGCTAACAGACTCTTTGAAATGGCCAGTGGACAGAAGACCCCTTCTCAGAACAGAAAGCGTCTCTACAAAGTGATCCGGAAGTAAGTGTCTTTAAGAAGGTGGTGGCGTTGTCCTCCCTGCCCTTTGAGTGCCTCTGCGCTCCTTAGAAACAGTTACTCATCCCGGGAGCTGCTTCTGAGGCCCCTGGACATGGGGTTCTGTGTAGCTTCCTTCTCCTCCAGACTCCTGACTCTGCTGACTGATGCTTTCTCTTTCCTTCCAGACTGCAGGACCTCTCTGCAGGTGAGGACTGGCTGTGCGCACAGTGGGGAGCAGAGGGGTCCCACATATTGGTTTCCAGCACAGGTGTTCTCTTTGTGAAGAGGCCTGCTGGTGCTGGTCAAGCCAGGGCTCTGCTCTCATGGTGCTAGCATTAGCTCTGTGTTCTCCGTCATCCTGAGGCAGGTGTCCTGGGTAGGGGTGGCCTGAAGACCGACCCTGATGCAGGGGATAGACTGCAGGCCCTGTGGGTTACCTGCTTAAGAGGAGCCTGGGAGTGGAGGCCACTCTTCCCTGGGGTGGTGGGACTAGGCACCTCCCTGAAGGCAGTGAGGGCTGCCGTGTGCTGTGCTCTTGTGGGGCTCTACGGAGAAGACTTAAGAACACTTTCCCAGGAGGTTGATGGTCAGAGACTTGAATATTTTTTCCTGATAACGATACTATGACATTTTCTAAACATACGGCTAATTAGAAAAGGAGTTTGCAGTGAATGCGTGTCTATCCACAACCTAGAGTCTACCATTAATTTCTTACTACAGGGTGTCAGAATGACTCTGGGTAATAGAAGGGGGATCTAGCTCACTCAGGGCACCCCCATGACTAGCCTCTGTTCCCCAGGTATCTTCCCCGAGGATGACATCCCTGAGAAAGTCTATGCCCATCGGCATGAAGGGAGACTACAGAGGCAGATGAAGAAGCGTTTGCTCAAATCCCAGTTGAAGAACAAGAAAGGTAGGGCCTAATGTATGTTGTTGATGTGTGAGGTGTGGATTTTCTGTGGCCCCTACCTCCCTCAGGTCTTCCCCTCTTTCCTAAGCTGTAGCCACACAGCCCCTTGTAGGGCTTTGGGCTCTGCCGCGGGGTTGTCTGGCCTTTGGGTCTGTCCTGCTGTTTGCTGATACTGTCTTGTCCAGTCCAGTCCACTGTGGCAGTTTCCCGTCGGTTCCTCCCACATGTTCCCTGCCCTCTTCAGTGTCCTCAGGACCTTTGGTTGTCCCTGTGGTCTGCTTGGTCATGGGAGTGGCTAAGAGTGGACCCAACATTTGGCTTCAGTGTGCCCTGTCACTCAGTCCTATATCCCCTGCAGACCCTACCTCCCTCTGCAGTGTTCTGGATCCACCCCCTCTCCAGCCATGTCCACACCCCCCATAGCAGCTGTCTGGTTCCACAGCTGGCCAGCTCTTGTGCTCTCAGCAGCTCCTGCTCCAGTGCCCCAAGAACCTCCTGAGGGCTGTCTTCCCACTCTGTGTGTGGCAGCGAGGGTCAAGCTGCTTGCCCTGGTGTGCTGGAACTGGGCCACTCACACCTCATGCCTTGCTCCTCTCCTTTCTAGCTGTCCTCACCGTGGTCTTTTGAAGGCCTGGCTTCCCCAGTATGATTTTCCCTGTATCCAGACCCATTAGTGATTTTGTACCTGCCTTGTGGGACTTACCATCCATCCTGGGCCCGTGGTGTCGATTTGCGGAGCCCCACTTTGGTGATGTTGGCTTCCACATTCTCCGTGTGTCCTGAGGCCTCCAGGTTCCTGTGCTGACACCTTCACTTATAGAACTCAATGAAGTCATCCCATGTGCTCACACCCCCGCTCCCACTGCTTTGCTGTTTTCACAGGGAAGAGTGGAAAAGAGGAGCTGAGTTCTGCTCCACGGTCCAGTGGAAATAAGAGGAGGAAGAGGAAGAGCAGGAGGACTGACCTTGATGTGCAACCTGAGGGAGCCCCACCCCAAGAGCAGGGCAGGAACCGTGGTGTGCGAGGGGCTCGCAGCAGAAGGAGGGGGAAGCCTGGTGCCAGGGCCAAGGTGGCTGTCAGGGCTGAGGCCCTGGAACCAAAGAAGAAAAAGAAACGGATCCAGGAGAGTCAGGAGTGATGCCTGGCTGCCCTGGGACAGGCAGGCGGTTTAGCTGAGTGAACTGAGTACCAGGCAACACCTACTGTGGTGAGGAAGGGGCCAGACCAAGAAGGGATTGCACCAGCATGGAGGATCTGCCGGAGTCCTGGGAAACTTTCCCCTGATAGAGCCAGGGGTTGCAGATGTGATGGCCTCGGGTTCAGGAACTCCAACTCCCCAAACTGATTAGCCCTTGCTGGGTCCTTGGTCCCACTGTAGGGAATCGGTTACGTGCCTGTGGGCTACCCAGGAAATAAAGTGACATAACAGTTCTCAACAAGGATTGGTTCTGGTATGTAACATTGAAGGTTTTCCCGTAGTGTGAAACAACAGGGGCAGATTCCTTGATAGCCATTTCTGTGGAAACAAGTATATGTATGTATAAACGAAATGTGGAAAACAAGACACCACAGTGTTAACAGCTTGTCTGGGCAGGGACATGCTTACTGTCTACAGCTTTTGACTTGTGTTCAAACTTTTACAGTGATTTTACTTTTATAATAAAATGTTTTTATCTTTTGTAGTCATATTTACTATAACCTACAAGCACAGTGTTGAGGGCCAAGAAGGGTTTAGAATAGAGCTGTGAACTTTTCTAGTAGCCATGTTAAAGGAAAAAAGCAAACCACACAGTCTTTGAAATTCCATGGTTATCGCTGGCGGATAAGTGCTTAACCTCAAGGTCGGTTTGAACCATAAGGTCAGTGGTTCAAACTCAACAACTGCTCCTTGGAAACTACTGGGGCTGCTGTAAGTCAGAACCAACTTGACAGTACTTAACAGTATTCCTTACTGCACATCCCAACTCATATGTAATGCTATCAGAAATATTCCTTACTGCACATCCCAACTCATACGTAATGCTGTCAGAAATACTTGATCCATTATTTAATAAATTGCCAGTTGAAAAAGTAGAGTCACATACCAAGTTGTTCCACATGTAATTTAAAATATTCAAATAATTAAAATGTGTCAGGACTGCTGGTAGCGTAGTGTATGAGTCGGGCTACTAGCCTCAAGGTCAGCACTTTGAAGCCACTATCCATTCTGTGGGAGAAAGATGAGGCCTTCCACTCCTGTAAAGGTTTACAGCCTTGGAAATCCTATCCAGGGTCGCTATAAGCCGGAACCCTGTCCACAGCATACTACCACCACCACCAAAATGAGTATCAGTTTAAAAATAATTAATGAAAAATTGGGTTCCTCTACCCCACTTGCCCCTACCACTTGTCTGTGTGTCGTATTGTGGTGGCTTGGAAGAACTTCAGCCAGAGTGCTCCTTGTTTGGAGGGACCAATCACTGGAGGATATCATGTTTGGTAGGGTGGATGGAGTGTCAGAGAAAAAGAGGAAGACTCCCAGCGAAATGGATTGGCAAAGTGGTGGCATCAGTGGGCTAAAGCTAGGCAACAGTTGTGAGGTTGACCCAGGACACTGGGTAGTGTTTCATTCTGTTGTGCATAAGGTCGCTATGGATCAGTACCGACTTCGTGGCACCTAACAACAACAACCCCACTTACCACCTTTCTGTGCTCTGCATCCCTGGTGGGAGCATGCTCTTAGCCCTGTTGACTAATTAGAAGCAGGATTCTCTGGTCATGGGTGACAGGCCAGCAGCAGCTCTGGATGGAGCCCAGGTGTTGGGAAGTGAACACTGCTCATCCCAGTCTGCAGCTTTCCATTTGGAAGTTTGATTGTCCATGGTCTGGTGATCAACACTGGTCAGTCTAGCCACCCTGCAATTCTGCTTGGGGGCAGCTCTGAGGTTTGAGGGTTTGGGGAGACAGGGTTTCAGCCTGAATCCTGGAGCAGAGGCAGATTGGGGTACCCAGGGGTGGGCCAGGAGGTAAGGCCAGCTCTTCTGGGTCAGGGATACCAGAGTGTGTGGAACCAGACCTCACCTCTGAGGACACTGTAGGGGTAAGAATTGCCCTGACATTGTCCCCTAGCTCACTGGTATAAATGCCTGTGCTAGGACCAGCCTGCAAACAGCTTTCCTGTGCCCTTCATGTGGTCCAGAATGGTCCCTGTTTTGGAATGAGATGTGGGGGACCCTGGGCACAGTGTTGTCATACAGTCCTGGGTTCAGGATGCTCTGCAAGCTCTTCTGCCCTGGGAAAGGTGTAGCGTAGCATCCTGCTCACTGACCTGAGCATTCAGGGTCCTTGCTGTCACTGGGGCCTAGAGCAGGGACATCCCAGCTATCTGCAGTGGGACCCTGGGGTGACCAGGTGGTTTGTCCCTGAGGTGAATTTCCTTCCCTGATGGCCCAAGGTTCACATAGTCAACATCAAGTTTCACTCTGTAGGTCACTCCTGACCACCTCTGGCTTTGGACCCCTGGACAGCTGGTATGGCCACAGTTGGCCCACAGCCTCTGACTCCTACTCTAGCCACAGCTTTGACCTTCCCCCTAGGGAGGGGAGCCTTTCCTCTCCAGTCAGCTGTTGACCTTGACATAGGCTCAACTGTCCCCTGGGCTCTGCCCTAGGCCGTCTTCTATCCTAGAAGATCAGACTGTCTTGAGCCCAGTGCAGCCCTGGTACACTCGCCTCCCTGTCTGAGTGTGGCCTCCATTCCCATGTGATCAGCAGGAAGGAGTTCACTTATTATGCCTGCTGACAAAGGTAGTGGCTGCCACTCTTCTCCGTGGCAAAGCTCCTCTCCCCTTCATAATTAATAAGGATCTTGTGGGGAGGTGTACCAATATCCAATCTCTCATCCAACTTCCAGGTTACTGATTTAATGGGTCAGTGTGGCTCATGGGTTACTGTTTTACTCTGGCTACAATCCAGTTCTGTCCCTTGTCCAGAACTCACTCTGCCCCAGTTTGTCCAGCGGGAGGCTTTTCAAACTGGCATCTGTTCTTACTGTGCTCTCTTTGTTCCAAGAAAATGTCCTTGTTTTGGCACAAGAAGATGCTCTCGGCTCATTTTGTACTCTCTCTCCAAGGCTTGGGGCCAGTCACTTCTCCAAGGAGTCCTGGTTCTTTTTCATGGATCAATGGATTGATTTTTTATGGCCTTTCTAACTCTTGTAATGCTCACCAAATGGTTGAGTAGTACTCTACACCTAAGGTTCTGTGGCTCTCCAAGGGGATTGGGCAGTTTGCTAATAATGTAAATAGAGTGTGCAGAACCCTGCAGGGATGATGGATTATGTGCCTTGTAGTTAGTTCTGACTCACTCATAGTGACCCTGCAGAGGGTTTCTGAGGCTGTAAATCTTTACAGGAGCTGAAAGCCTCATCTTTCTCCAACGGAATAATAGGTAGTTTTGAACTGCTGACCTTGAGGTTAGTCTAACCCATAACCACTACATTACCAGTTGGGGCCTTGTAAATAAAGGTGTTGGAACCCTAAGTAGTAGATGGATCAGTTTTGCCACCCAACTAGGCTTAAAATGGACCATCCAGTGACAGAAAGAGGGGGCTGGCTATGTACCACCAAGAAGAAGCAACAGGAGTGGAATGTGTCCTTTGGACCAGGGTTCTGGGCAGGAACTTTGTAGACCCAGGAGTTGCTGAGAGATGGTGAGAAGTAGCGGTACCAAGACAGCAGCAGAGCCAGTAGACCACATCTGTGCAGCTTGTGGGGGCTGCTCTCCCAGGGGTTCTCCATCCAGTGAGTCTCACCCAGAAGGATGCAGAGCGCATGGCACCGTGGCCTATATTCACTCCTCCTCAAATGTCATTGTGACCTGCTCCTTTCAGTTTCAAGGATTCAGGGACTTTGAGGACCAGAAGGTGTGGCCCAAGCAGGAAGCAGCTTTGGCCAAGACTGGAATCTCGGAGGTTGGGTAGGGGTGGGTGGGGGTGCAGCTGTCCTGTCCCCATGAGGGAGTGGAGCTGGAGTGAGGAGTGGGGAAAAGGGGCTGGGAGGTGGGGGCAGGGCACATCAGAAAGGGTTGCTGATGGTTCCAGCAGGGTGGACTTCAGAAGCATCCCTGGGATGGGCAGTCCTGGTGGGGATTCTGCCTGACTTAAGGGGTGGGGACAGTCCCTGGTGAGAGGTGGGGGCCATGAGGTTCCCAGGTGCCCCATTCTGAGTCCTTCAACCTCTCTGATAGGAGAGCTGTTTCCAGCATGGGTGACTTCTGCAGAGTTGTCGGAAGTGGAGGGGCACTTGGCTTGGCCACCAGGTGGGGCAGCAACTCCCTTCCAGCTCACTCCCATCTTAGTCTTGGATGGGAAGGCGTAGACGCAGTCCTGCTGGCCACCTCTAGAGGGCACCCTTGGCCCTCGAATGCTCAATCCTCCAGTATCTCTGGTCCCTCCCTAAACCCAAATCAAATCAAACCCACTGTCAACCCAATATAGGGTTTCTGAGGTTCAGCTTTCTTCCTTGGAGCAGCTGGTTGGTTTGAACTATCAACCTTGGGGTTAGCAGTCTAGTGCTTATCCTTCTGCGCCACCAGGGCTTCTTTGGCCCTTCCCCAGGTGAGACCTTTTCCTGGAGGTGGTCCTGCCCCAGGAGGCGCCTCTGACGGTCCCTCCAGGAACAAGCCACTGTCAGTCCTCTGCCAAGCTCCAAGGACCCAGGGAAGACACTGTGTAGCCAGCCTCAGCCAGCACTGTATAGACCCTGCTGTCAAGTTCCTGTAAGAAACCTAGAAAAAAAAAAAAGCAGGGTTCAGAAAGGTGTGGAGAAGACGCAAACAGGAAGCGTGAGAGGCCCCATTCAGAGAAGCCCTGACTGCTATGGACTCAGTTTCTTCCTCTGTAAAACAAGCATGAGGCTTGGAGGGGCAGCCCCTGGTACTTGGAGTCTGGTTTGTACCTGGGATCTGCCCTGAGTTTCTGGAAACCAGGAGTACTGAGCTCCAAATAGAGATAGAAGCACAGACTGGGTGCTTTGCTCCCCATATTTTTTTCGGGCTCATGTAATGTGTGGCAACAACTGCCCCATTCAGTTTGCACTTGTTGTTGTTGTTGTTAAGTGCCGTCGAGTCGGTTCCGACCCATAGCGACCCTGTACAGGGT